TATCACTGGAACCCTAAGATCCAAACATTTGGAAAACCTGTAAGCCGCATGAGGCCCTGACAACGCCTACCAATCCGCAACCAAAGACCCCGAGCCCAATCCCTGAACCCTATGCCCGAAAAGCCAAGCCCCATTGTTCCTCAATCCCAAAGCAGGAACCCGAAGCGTTGAACCATATTTTATGTATGTAATGTGTATAATATGTAGATATATTATGTATATATATGTACTAGAGTACTATGTAACCTCATATAGCCCAATAACCCGCAGAAGCGCAAGCCCAGGTGCTGTGGCACAGCTCTTTGGGAGCGCCGCCGCCCCGGAAGTCGCCAAGGGCGAGGCTCCCACGCCTGCGACAGGGCAAGCCTATAGACCCTACATTTTTGGGGTATATGAGGGTTATTTAGGGAGTTGTGTAGGGATTACATAGGGTTTAGGGGATATTGTCGCGATATTGCTGAATCACGCGGAGAATGAAAGGGAAACTATTCTAGGATATAGGAAGTAATTGACACAAGACGGGGTGGGGGATTTAGTTGACAATCATCGTACACCTGTCAATATAGGAAGATAGGATGAGGCTGATATTGAGTCAGCTAGGATCCGCGGGGGCTGCTTGCATCTCCTTTTCTCTGGACGTGTTGTAGGAAGGATGACGGAGTCAGGGGAATGCACGCGGGAGGCTTGAATGATTTTAGACTATCATGCCGTCATTCATGTCACACATCTTCAACATCCCTACAGAAATACACCTGCGAGTCACGTCTTATATGGGTTGTCATTACTTTGGTGCCCGGAGGCGGGAGCCGCACATCCACGGTCATTTGCATGGGTGGCATTCGGGGCTTCAGCAGCGTCGACGGTAGCTTGGGATCAACATAGTCTAGTCTCCTGCGGCTTTCATTTTACGAAGCTACTTAGTGGCTGTGAGAGATGCTGTGGCAGTAATTGCAGTTTGCTTGCTCTTGGCTTTGCCGGCTTTAAGTTCAGCATCTGGGCAGATGAGTTATAGGGCCCTGCAAGAAGTCATCATTAGAGGAACTTTGCACAGAATGATGAAGTCCCGCATCCCGTTCCAAGCAGGAAGGAAGCCACCCAAGCCTTCTTTGGCCCCTGTACAGATGCCTCGTCTGAGAAGACAGTCGGGGACCACAGGGCAAACATATGTTAGCTTTACTTGTTGCGACATATGAGCATCCTTGTGAAGAGATGGCGTAGATGGACTTTGAAGCTTGGACTGGACAGGTTATAGTTGTAATTCGCCTGACTTCACGAAACCGGTAGTCCACAATAACTAATAGCTATTATATGAGAATAGCTTAAGAACGCTTAAGAAATATTGTCCGTATCGTTGAATTATGGTTATCATGATCATTGTTCTCCCTGTCTTATGCAACAATATCCTAGGGACTGTAGGCGTCCCTCCTGGGCGGTCAAAACCTCATTCTGCTGTGAAAGCGAGAGGACGCCCCCGTTGCTGGACAAGCCGTGGCAATCGAGGACCCGGGATGCACCATGAGAGCCAATGTTACCCATTATAAGGGTAACATTAGGGTTATAGGGGTACATAAAAGTTACTTATATTGAGTTATATTGGGATTATATGGGGACACTGGAAGAGAACATGGAAACTACTATTTAGGGTTTAGTACATGGAAAAGTTGGGGTGGTTTTGTCACAGCCAAAATAAGGGTTTCGCAGAATTTAGAGGCCCCGTTCGCAGCAATAAATTGGGGTCTACAGTCTACAGTGTGGTCCACATTTTTCTGGAAACTCCCATACCTCAGTGTGACCAGCTAGCGAGGTTTTGCTCCTAGTCCCGGAGAGGCGGCGGGAGTCATGTGTCCAGACTGCCAAGCGTAAGTCGGAAGCGTCGATGACTTTCCAAGCAAGGCTCCAGGCAGGATTCCTGCTTCCACCCCTAATTTTAATACATGGAGGCAAGGGATTTCACAGTTGCTGGGCGGCTTCTGTCTTGTACCAGGTCGCAGGTTCTTCTCAAGTTGATGCAAAACGGTACAAACGTTCCACAAACCACGGGATTGGGAAATGGGTTATAGCGTTTACTACTGTAGGAAGCGCTATAGAGATCCGCTTTTCCCTCGCTACCGAATACGTACTAGTAAGCACTAGTATGTGGGAATTGTCGAGGCACCACATGGTTGGAGACATGTGTGGGCTTCTCGCGTTTCTGTTCTGGTCCCACATGCCAGCGCAGGTTAGCAAGGTACTTTGTTGAAGGGGATTCTCAAGGAGGACTCACATGTATGTGAGGAATGGAAGCCCTGCAACACCCCATACTAGACTTGCACATCCCTATAATTATCGCCCTCACACACCCCCCACCAACACCTGAAAAGAACAAAAGGTGCAATAAGTTCAGCACACCATAAGTTCCTCCGCTAGGGTCCCAGACATCCTCAACAGACCAATTGAGGTAACCGAAAATCTGCAAGTGATGTATGGAGCGCCTAAGTGCACCATGAATTGATCATCCTTGTGTCAGCCTGCTTTGGGGGTCATTATCCGAAGGATGTGGCAATAAGTCGCCGGGGCCAGGAGTTGGAGGACATGAAGGCATCATGGTTCCGAACAGTGGAACTTGATGGAGAAACAGTTCCGTCATAACAATATTCGAACAGTAGAAGTTGATGAATGTGAAGAACTACGGTCAGCTCAACTTGCAGTAGAACAAGTATGTGGGTTGAGGTAGGCGTAGAGGTTCCACACTGGTTGTAGTAACAGCAGCGGCAGCAGCAGTAGCTGTGATGCTTGCAAGCGCAGCGATAAAAACAGCCATACTTAAACAAACTCTATAGATTAGGGCTGGTGCATGCGGGCCGGATACAGGGTTCTCGAAAGTCAGAGTGCAGCCGCAGCCTTTCTGAATGGGCGTTTTTTTCGGTGGTGAGGCCAGTCGCAGCACAGAGCAAAAATGCGCATGAGGGACATTACGTTGCAATGGGTCGCGTGTTCTTCTGGGTGATATCGGCTCCAGGAAGACGTAAGCAAGGCTCAGCCCTGGAACAGTGTGAAGTGTGGGGTTTTCTCGGAAAACCGCACCGCAGGTATTTTAACGGAGCTTCTGTTAGGTAAACACTCGCTTCAAACCTCTACTATGAAACCTTCTCCAGCCTACAGACCTCTTCAAGGTTGAATAATCCCCTGGTCATTACCAAACTGTTTACTGTAGGAATCAATTCCGCAGACGAGTAAGCAATTCTTTTGAGTCTCAAAAACGGAACCCCGCACATGAAGCTTGCTGATTTGACAACAGGATGTTTATTTAAATGCGGTTTGCATTGTACACAAGACTGGCCGGATCCTTGTTAAAAAGTCACACCCCAGAATGGGACACACAACAGCGAGAAATTCCTAATTGTGGCTCAAGACCCTCCATATACTTTCGAAGGCCGCCGCCGCGGCTGGGCGCAAGCGCCTCCTCGAAGAAATGGTGGCCCAGGAGGCAGGTAGGGCGCTGACAGGTTTAGGGTTTCAGATGTTGGCCACGCTTCGTTCAGGCCTAGGTAGCGCTGGACCCTGATGCACCTTCCACAATCTGCATGTTTGCTGCTGCATTTTGCACACCTTCACAGGATCACAGGATTCTGCTATGTGTTCAGAATTTGTCCCGTTCGTATTGTGTAACCGTAGCCTCCAAGTAGAAAGCATTGCCACTACGCTAGCAGGAGTATCTGCGACAATGCAGGCATCAACGCAAAGACACCTAACTATCATGTGGACCCAGCATGAACCCTCCAAATACCTAGCTCTGCCTCGGAAGACAATCATGGTGGAACAGCGTAGCAAATAGAACTAAGGGCGTCAAATTTTACAGGGACCACCGCAGTGGCTGTCAGAGTCACGATGTGTAAGACGTTGTAAGGGAGATCAGGGATGCACCACCTTTTTTTGTGCCTGCTTGGGGTCCTCACCTGTCCCCTGCAGGCTGCGCCAGCGAACGGTCAAGCGTCCATCACTGACAATTCGGAAAAATGGGCCCGCGCTGCTATTGGATGATTGCTCTTCATGTGCTGTATTTTGTAGTGCCTGCATTTCCTGCTGTTATGTTCGGGTCATGCCAGAATGCACTGTGGCTGGCAACTCTGCTAGTTATATATGGATTGGGACATGGTTGCAGACGGGTTCTATCTTTCCAAGAGTTGTGAGAGCTATTGCCGTGGTGTTTGGATGTTGACATGGAACATGGATGTCAGGCGATGATTGCAGCGGCCCGTAGCAAATCTAGCTGAGAGCACGGCAACGCAGCACGTATTACACACGGATTTCTCATAGAAGTGCAGTATGCCCATTGTAACCCAAGCTGAGCCCATAAACAAAAAGACGCCTTGGTGATTGTTGGCCTGTCATACCTGTGCGTGTCCTCCATTGCTGTTTTCGGTGTTACTGTTGCAAAGTGTCATAACTGGTTTTCAGTTCAAATCCTGTTGCGCCCAAAGCCCAGAACTCAAATCTCCCAGAGCCAGAACCCTGTTTTCCGTTGCGGGAGGACCCAGGGGAACAGCAGAGACGCTGCGCCCTCTTCGCCAACCTGGCCGGGGTCTCGGACAGGTCGGGCTAGCTCTTCTTGAAGATCTGGGAGCGTTTTTTCATGTGAGGAGTGCTGCCTGGGGGTGTGTCAAGGTTGTGGTCCATCCCGACTAATCTTGAGGGTATGTTCGAGTTTAGAAGTCCTGATTTGGATTGAGCTACTTTTCTTCCCTTGACTGTAGTACGTGCAGGTATTACGCGAAAGCAGCTAACCACATGTCCTGCTGAGAAGGCGGACGGGCCTCGGGCATCTTACGCCCCAGCATTGCCAAGCGAGAAGGATTCGGGCATGAAGAGCGGCGACGACAGGTCTTTGGATGCTAAATCTGCGAAAGATGATTTCCTTTCTGTGCGCCTGGTCGAGTAGTCATTCTACGTCTACGTAGATGGAAAAAGTGATCATTGTATCTACTTGGACTAGACCCGCGTCCTAAAGTTCAGCTTGCTAGGTCGATCCACTGTTGCCCATCGTTGCCCGGGCACTTCATCCGGATGGCGCATCCCTCAGAGAGATGCCTTTGACCCTGTCAATGGTGGAGAAACTTGGGGCTTCATGTGAATGTCGTGTAGGGTTACATTTATGGTGACATTTTATGCGCAGGATTTAGATAGGGAGGCTGTAAGGGATGATGAGTACAAGGTTTAGGAAGGTGGGGCATGTGCGCGTCATATTTTGGGCATGTGCAAGTTCGTTGCTTGCTGTTCTTGGGGGCTCATGAAGGAGGACTTCATTGATCAATTCTGGCACGTTGTTATGGAAGGCACGAGGATGAACCCGCGCGTGCATCCATGCGGCATCTGTCTTCTGGGTTTAGTGGGTCCAGGGTGTGGATGTTTGAGCTTAAGGCGCGTTTGTGATCGGCCTCGGGAAGGGATAAGACGGGGTCATTCAACATGGCCCAAGTAGCCTGTTTGCATTATATTCATGGATTACCAGGAGAGAGAGACTACCGGCTCTTCACTGTCCATGTATCGCCATTGTCCCTATGCCCTGCCCCAATGTAAGAAAATTCCGTATAGGTTTCAGACTGTCGGCTCACTGAAGCATGCTCCCAACCCGTTAGAGCTGTTGTAAGTGAGTAAAGTAGATGTACGGCCTGGACCGTAAAACCCCGCCAGCCATGAGAAAGCCAAGAAGGATCTGTGAGTTCCTGCGAAGCTTGCAAAGCTCCTATGTGACCGTACCAGAATGCCGTTGTAGTCCACAAACCGCCTGAGGCCCTATTAAGGCATAAGTTCCTGACATAGCCACAGATGTTTAAAGATTTGGGAGTATGGTAGCCCTTGAGGAACCCTGCCTATTTGCATTGCAAGCCTTGTAAAGCCTCGAGCACCGGTACGAGAAGGTTTCTCTCTTTTTTTTTTGGGAGGGGGGGGGGTTCTAAACTCTGAACGAATTTTCCAGGATCCCTGAAATCACTACGTACTTCAAGCAAGGAATTCTAAACTCCATCAAGACTTCTGAGAATACCAAAAACACCCTCATCAAACCCATGTGCGGTTTAGGTATCGACTTCTTGGAAGAAGGGCTCGAGATGCCAAGCTGGCACATTGCTGAAGAGTTCCGCTTTATGACTTTGAGAATTCGGGCTTGGGATTTTAGGAATCTCGGGTTTAGGGCTAGAGTTCCAGGGACAACTGTTTGGTTCAGATTTTTATCGTGACAGATCTAGGGCTAGGATTTGCTGTTAAGTGGTCAGGATAAGTGATTTGGCCCGTAGCGGGATGAGAGGGGCAGGCCGGTCAACATGATGTTCATCAGTTTTGTACAGGGGTGCATCTAGTCCATTTTCTATCTTCAAGCCCTTGCCGCTTGTAGGGTTCCAAGTAGCGTTTTCAGGGCTAAGTGAGGCTTCAAGGGGTGTGCGTGGTGGGCTTTCCACAGATTTTCAGCCCTAGATTTTTTGTTTTTTTTTGCACAGTGGAGGCACCGTGGCAGAGTTGTAGAGACTCGCGCTGAGGCATTAAGGACACCTCTTTGGCTTTTCTACTTTTCAGACAGGAACCTTGAAGTTGTTGTACGTCACAACCTAGAATCTCACATCCCGTAGCATCACGAGTGTTCTGGGTGATGCCTATACGCCACAGTGACAGCCTCACGCCAGGTTAACGTACCTGACGGCCTTCTGCGCGAAGCCTATCCCGGCACTGCTGTGGGGTCCGCCGGGCACTTTGAGCGGGTTGGGCGGTTTGAGGATTAGGTCTGGATTTTCTTGGCTTTGAGGAGTGAGTTTGCCATGAAGGGTTCGCACTGTTTTTTGTCTAGGGTTTGTTTTTGTCTGCACATGGGTGGGCCCGAGGTCACATTTCTGGGCTCTCAGGCTTGCTTGTGTTGAAGTCGTCAACGCGCTAAACCCCCGAAACCCTGACAAGAAAGAACAATTCAGCGCCAGCATGGGGTTCGAAGTGGCTGGCCTCATGAGGCCCATAGCTGAGGGTTCAGGTCTTGATGCTTGGCATCGGCAGGTTTCCGTGTGCCAGCTAGAGGATTAAGGTGGTATCTCCCCAAACGAACATTGACTCCCTGCAAGCAGGGTCCTACAAAGACTACCTTGTCTGTGTAAGATTATGCTATATGGAGGTAGCTTCACGAGGTTGCAGAGCTCCTCGCCAAGATAAGGCCTGAATAACTGTCCATGTGATGGTCCTAGGGTCTGCGTATAACTATGGGATAGGGTACCTCAAGCAGACCTCGCAGGGATAGTTGAAATTTTTTACGCCGCTACATTACAGTGACAGGGCGCAAGCATGTGAACGTCGCAAAGTGCTGTGTACTATGAGTTGCGATGACGCAACTACAAACACCTTTGCTTGGCTTGGAGGCCCCTGTAAACCCAATATACGATAATACGCCACACTGAAAGTATTGAATAGTACTGTAGGGGGCTAGGGGGATTTAATATTGTGGAGGTGATTATGCTATAGTCCCCCTTAAGTAGATAGAATATGCTGTGGGTGAATTGTAAGGTTCCCATATACTGCATATTCTATCTACAAGGGGGGCTATAGTCTGAACCTTGATCTGCAGATCTTGGGCCATCAAGCCTTGACTGCCTAGTTCCTCAAAAAGCATTATGCTGTGAGACAGTTACACACGCTTTGCCCAAATCATGTAACTTAAAGTGAGTTGCCATAGTAGTAGCAGTAGATAGTCCATAGTGACATATTGGTGTTGGGTTTCCATTTTGCGGCAACTTAAGTCAAAATCCTATCCCTATACCAGCCACTTCAGAATCTTCAAGAGTAGGCTTGTTCCGTTTCGTTGATCATTAAACCTAAATCAGGTTTCCTAGTGGTAACTAACTCAGTCATTCAAAATTATAGAGATCCACCTTGAGGTGAATTTACCCAAGCCCTGTACAACCCCTGTAACTCCTTACAAAGGAACCGAGTGATTCAGCTGTCCCAAGAGCTGGCTACTTCGGAAATCTGCAAAGGTGTTCCCGATAGGACGTCTGGACTTTGTAGAAAAGTCACTCACAGCATGATACAAGATGATACTTGAATCCTGGGATGAAGGAATTTGTTCAACCAGTTTAACTTTCCGCGAATTAACATGGAAGCTGATAAGTGGCCCTTTGTATACTACTGTCCTCTTCAAGGGGGTGGGCTATATCAGGTTCCATGTTGGTTTGGGAGAGTATTTGGAGACATACCCAATATTGAGGGATTTTCAGTTTTTGTTCTCTCTGGCGTGCTGCGCTGAGGTTCCCCCGCCTCTTCCAAGCTGTTTGCGGCAAGTCCACGCCTTCGCTGCAGCTACCCGACGTCTTGGAGGTGGGTGCACAGTGAACTAGGCTGAGGTTAGGGACAGAGTTTAGGTTTTCCTGGTCGGCTAGGCTGCGCGTAATGAAGGTCCTAAGTTCTAAATCTTCCACACATGTAGCTATAGTCGAAGCAAAATTTGCTTGATCATCTTGCAAGGCTGTATAGGGAAGAAACGAAGTCGCGCTGGAGAAGTGACAAAAACCGACGGACAAGCTCAGAGTTCCATTCCGAGCCATCTTGGGGGGTTGTCAAGTCCTATGCGCTTTGGCTTCAAGTTCAGAAAGCCCATGGGTTCATTGCGCAGGGATGGTTTTGAATGCTGATTCACTGCTAAAGTAGGTACCATAGCTTCCTCACCAGGCGACTGCTGAAGCGCAGGAGTCCTTTACAAGATTGTCTCTCAAGATCTCTCAAGGAATGCAGGCCCCATCGCAATTCAGAGCAAGCAGCTTAAAACCGTCTGTCTCAGAGGTCGCAGTTCCAAATCAGGCCCCTTGGGCCCGGATGCATTTGCTGCATGAGGATGATGATGTTCCTCCAAACGAGATCAAAGAAGGTAAACAGTACATCCGCGCTTCCAAGAAGATGGGTCCCTGGAAAGCCTCAAAAGCAGAAGGGTCTTGAGATGATCCGCTCCCCCGAATATAGACCCTACATAAACACTAAATGCTATAAACCATGAAGCTTCCTAACCAGGGTGGCTGGGCGCCTGACTTCATGACCAGCATTTTGGATCCAATGCTGCCGGGCATCCCAGTGATTATGCAGCCCGGATGTTCCGCACATTGAAGGCACTAGGCATATAGAGGTGAGAAATTTCGGAGCAATGGGCTGAACCCTGAACCTGAATCGTGGGCAGGGCGCTCCAAACTAGAGTGATTCGTTCCTGACTGTACCTGTAGCATCGGGATATGCACATGAGCTGCTAGATGATCCCTGAAAATCCTAACCTCTCCCGGCGCATCTCCTACGACCTCTTACCCGCTAAAAGATATCTTGTAAAACATGCCCAGAGTCAGAGACACACCTAAAGGGACCTACACCTCAACACCCCAACCCTAAATTCGTACAACCTTGAGAAACCTAAGTCCTGCTATGCCAAGAAGCCTCATTGCAAAAAGAACACCAACATTTCAAGCTCCCAAGCACCATGCCATCAAAAGTCTCGGACCCCTAATGCGAGTGTAGGGGCTCTATATACTTCTCATAAAGCCCTTGTGCGCTCCTTGCATCACACCGGCGGTACAGACCCTGCAGAATCCTTCAAGAGCACAAGCAACAAGGAACTATGTCGCCCGGGGCCCTGTGGAGGCGATCTTCACAGGCACATGGGCCGAGGCCCGCGAGATCTCCAGCTGAATGATATCATGAAAGGTGCAGGGAATTACTTACTGTAGGACTAAGCAAGGACTGAAGACGGCGGGGAATTGTAGTGAATCTTCTGCAGAGGATCCGGATCTCGCAAACGAGCTTTCAAAAGGGTTTTCTTGAGGTCTTTTGAATGCATTATCATATATTTCTGGAATTTCCAAGTGGAGTGCAGGTGCTGTGTCGGGGTAGCTTGGATTCTACAGCGTGTTGCGGGCGATTATACTCGATTATTACCATAAGCAGGTAGCATGGATGACAAGGATTGGCTTTGCACTTGGACCTTTTGCATTTGCTCTAGATAGAATCACGCCGCGGCTGCGTCTGCAGAAATCCCCATGCAATCTGAGCGGGTACATGTGCTTGACGACAATTGCAGGTTGGCAGGCCAGCGAGAATTTGCTAGGCCGATAGTTGCCTGCTACTTCAGCAGTACTGCGGCCGCAGTGGCAATCATCGAGATTGATGCTGGGATGTCAAGCCAAAATCCGACACGCTCAACCTAACATACTTTGATCCAACAAATTGCTAACACAAGTCCTGATCCGTAAGAGCAGAGCTCATCCACGTCATACAGCAAGCCCACTCCTAAGGCCCACTGTAAGCCTGAAAACTGATGCTTTATCATTACCCTGAAGCTGTTACCATGATCCTCGTGCGCCCTCTGTAAAGGCACTTTCAGACCTGCTTCAAGTGGCAAGACCTGTAAATAGACCTTATGATGAAGGTCCAGAATTTTTAGCTCCCCATGTTAGATTCCAAATCAGTAGCAGGAGACCCCAAATCTGTGAACTCTAACCCCCAAACCGCAAAACCCTGACCACTGCACAATCAGTGTCCGTGGAGGGCAACATGACGTATGCCGATATGGTCTTCAGCATGGTCAGGAAGGCGGTTTTGCAGCTTAGGGCATTTTGCAGCCTAGGGCATTTCTGTTCATTTGAAGGATGTTTGGTGTGCGTGTGGGACGCGTAGGTGTGACCTTTTGTTTTGCAATCCTTTGATGTGGAGCTTGTCAACATAGTGTGTCCCATCCACCCCAGTCCTAAGACCACCATGAACGATTGAAAGCAAAGAAGCAAAGGGCTGAGGAACTCCTATGCAAAAGCTTTGGGTAATTCAGAAGCAGGGACGCATGAAAGTTAAAGAGCTGCTGCTGCTGCAAGAACATGTCAGCTTCACTCGGCATGTGGTAAAACAATACTTAATGCTTGATTGCTTTAGACCTTGGTGTTGGAACTTTTCTATTAACTACGTACTAGGTCTAATATGGAAGTTCGGTGGCGCTCCTGGTTGGGGGTGGGGGTGCTGCAAACATATTGCCTTCCGGCCCATTTCGAAAGGGGGTACTGCGAAATAGCCAGTGTCTCTCAAGCCTTATGACTGCCTAACTCCTGAGCCCTCGTCATGGTAAGGCCCAAGCGCGCACTCAGAGGCTGCGGATTTAGACCCTACCCTTGACCTGAGCCTTAAGTGGCCGTTACTTTCTTGGAGATTAAAAGCAATTCTTACTCCAAAGAACTGGCCCTGTACTGCAACAAATTCTTCAACCTAAGCCCTGATTTAGAAGGTCACCCTTGGGGTTGCTACAAGAACCCCGCACATATGCTTTTGAGAACACTTCGAACAGGAAGGCCAGTAGGGCTAAGGGTTTAGCCTTGTATCCGTTATGACAATAGCTACGTAAGAACTATACGATCCGTGAGTATCCAAGCACTCGGTACTCGCCCAACCCCTTGAATAACTTTTAACAGTCTTTAGCCGTCATGTCGAGTTGGAAGATCATTATTTCGGTGGGTCCCACGCAATCATCCTCTCACTGTAATTCTGTTCTCTCCAGCCCAAGGCCCCCAACCAACAGAAACCCTCAAATCTACATCCTGCTGACCTTCGCGCACCGACAGCTTCGCGCTGTTGTTACAGGTCCTGCATATGCCGGGCGTCGGCTCGGAGAAGGCTGGCATTTCAGTGTTTTTCGGGTGAAACGGTTAAAGGTCGAATCTCTGGACCTTAAAAAGCCTTCTTTCAAAACGGCTAGCGGCTAGCGGCTCATCACCCTTTACTTGATTGAGAACCCTGAACAACATCCAAACTCAGCACACGCCTATCGGGTCCCATGTAAGATCCTCAGTCCTTCGAGTCTTTGCAACAGAGAGCTGAACGTCAAAACCTCCCAAGAAAGGGAATACCTTGACGTACGTCACGATTCCCGACTTAGTGGCGCGAGTTTTCTTTGATGTGGCTTGTGCGCCATCTGCGTTCCTGTCGACGTACTGTGCACCCAGGAGACGGCTCCCAAGAAACAATGTTGAAAATCCTGAAGCAGGCTTGAGAGTAGGAGCTGAACTCTCCACCCCAAAGCGCAACTCTAAGCCAATCACCCAACCCAAAGCGCACCCCTAAGCCAAACATCCCAACCCAAAGTGCGCCTCAAAGGAAAACACCCCACCCCACACGCACCTCTCGCACAAAGTGCACCTACTAGCCTGAGACAAATGCTCACATTCCCTACTCCAACAGAAAAAGGCCCCAGCTGAAGGTCCTGTATATAGTCCACCTTAAGTAGATAGAATATGGGATATATGGGGATCATATTATAATATAATCTTGGTCAATCCCAAATTCTATCTACTTAAGGGGGATTATAGGCCAAAGTAGATGGAGCCATTGATGCACACAACGCACACTCGCGATTTACTCGTACCATCTCGTACCTCTAGATACCCAAACTCCTATGGCCCCTACATATATCATATACCCCAATGTATCCCAGGACGCGGCGGCTGCCACAGAGTTGGCAACGGCTCTCTTCGCACACGCGACGCCTCCAGGCCTGGCGCATGCGGCTGGCTCGGTTTTGGGGCTTGATGTTTATTGCTGATCTCAGGCTCTGAATCTAGGTTTGTTTTGGGCGCAGGACTCAGAGTTTAAGATGTTGTTTCGTCTCGCATGTAAAGGAAGATAAATCGTAGAGGCTGCTACACTATCTGGCGAAGACGCCTCTTTGCTTCGTTTTGGACATGTGACCCTCCAGCCCTGCCTGCCAGTACTTTGCAGCTTGCAAGCTCTGAAAAATGTTGCACTGGATGCTATCTGGACCCTAGTCGTAAGCCAGAGGACCTGAAGCCTAAACTTAAACTGATGGATTCTCAGAACTTCGATGAAAAGGAGGGAGTCCCTCGACATAACTCCCGAATCCCGCGGTCTCACGCGCAGGGATCTGAAAAGGATGAGACGTGTAGAACCCTAAGCACCTGTCAGTCGCGGATGCCTGGCTACCAGCATACTTTGCAGAGTTCTGGCTGGGAGCCCGGCAACTCCTCAATTCCCCATGTAAAGTCTCAGTTTTGGGGAGTGGTGCAAAGGTGGGTGCTGATAAGGTTCAGGGTGACGTGGTCCCTTCGCAAGTCTGGCGTGGGATGTATCACAGGAAAGATCTGAAGTCTTGTGTTCATGTTCTTGCCACCTTGGCGATACGTCAATCCATGTGTTGAATTTAGTGTTGCAGCCACTGCGGAAATCGTGTGGTGACCTAGACTACCTGATATTCTGGTGGTTTCAGACATCAAGTCCACGCACACGCCTTCTCAATCACCGACTCATGCCCAGCATCCTTAACCTGTAGTTTTTAGGCTGTTGGCCAGCGCCGCTTGGAGTTCTTTGCTACATTCTCCAAGCTTCAACCAGGGTATTGCTTCGGGCTGGTTCTTGATATTTTCTTGCCTGGAAGAGAGCTACCCTGTGAACCCTTTACGGAGAGCAGTCTCTGTTTGGGGGTTGTGGCTTCTGTTCTCTTCGCCACGTACTTGTAACGCCAACAATCTAGTTCGTCATTGACGCAATTAAGAAGCTGAAAGCGCCAAGCAGTGTAGAAACCTTCACGTGGAACTTGTGCAAGAATTCAAGTCCGATGGGAATGCTTGTGGTGCTGCGAACATGGCAAGAATCACTACAAAGGACACGCGTGGCCGATGTTGAGACCAGCGACCTTCGGCATGCACTACTCGTCGCCTTTGCCACGCAGATGTGGTGACCTGGTGGTCGCATAAATGCAGTTAGTTACACTGAAACTGCCCTCCCTTATAATTAGCCTCTAAGTACAGACTTACCACGCCGGATGCTTTCCAACCAGCCTAGTTGAGTTCTAAGTGCCGCAGGCTGTCATGGGTACATGTGAGGACCCCCAAGCAAGCCCGGATGTGTGCAATCACTTCAAGGCCACACAGTAGACTGCTAGTGGCAGGCAAACCCCCTGAACTCATGACATTCAGCAAGCCAAGTTCGTTACACTGCCTGTGGATTCCTTCATGAGCTTCTTGATAATGCTGTACTCTGAAACCCGTGCCACAGTTTGTTTGCTAGCGCTGTTCTTGCCATTTCTTGCCAATCTACGTTGTCATCGCCTTCACCTACATTCTCACCACAACCACAGCGCTACGACACAAAAAGCTCCAGGCTCTGGGAAAGGCTCAACACCGAATTTGCTACAGAATCCCGATCAAATGTTTTGCAACCAGTTGAAGCTCTCCACCCTGTCTTTGAAACAGAATGATTATCAAGCCTGTTTTGCAGGAAGGCGCTTGTAGGAATAATCCATACGCAGCACGAACCCGACGCCCTTTAGCCCCAAATCTACATCCTAAACTCTGATGCTAAACCCTGAAACCCTAGATCCGAATCATGAATCTCCAACCTTCCAGACCCCCAAAACCCTGCAGAAGCCCTGATGGCAGGTACAATGCAGAGCTCTTCTTGCGCTGCACCGAGCAGCGGGGCGTCACAGCGCAGCTCTTCGAGGCGCTTCAGGGCATAGGGGAATGTTCCTTTCGAGGGCCATAGGGTCTAGATAGGGGTTGTCTCTATATATATCTATATATATATTATTCTCAAAGCATACTGGAATTCGGGATGTATATAGAGCTTAGGGAGAGGCCCAAATTGACGTGGAACCCCAATCAAAACCCTGTAAACGCGCTGCCTCTTCCATGCTTAGTTCAGGAAGGGCAGGGTTTCAGCTCTATAGGGATGTTGAGGGTTTAGGAGGGGTTTGAGATTCAGGTGTGGTCTAGGGCTAGGGATTACGAGCTTGGGACTGCTGTTCACAGAGGTTTCTGCAAAAGGTGCTCAGAAGGGAACCCTGGAGATATGCGGGCTTATCTTGGCTATAGATTTGTACATCCCAAACAACAGAATCCTTCACCCAAAGCCCCGCCAGCTTGCCGCAACGCGAGTTGCTGTCGCCTGTACAGAGCTATTAACATGATGCTTTCGCCCCATGCTTCCGCAAAGGTAGTAGAATTGGAAACAGGATATCGCCAGCATCACAGTGGGAAGCATAATGGGCGCATCACAGTATCACCATCACCGCCGCCACCACCATCACCATCATGGTCGTCACTGTCATCATTGTCATTGTCTTCATAACGCAACGAGAATCTGGCAACACCGGGGTTTGTCCTGTTCTTCCCATATCATTCCAGGTTCCGTCTCAAGTTCCATGTACTGTCCATTTGATTCGCCATAATTCTATCCCTAGCTCCCCTATATATGTCAATTATATAGCCCTACACACTTCCTATTTCACCCCTACACAACCCCTACTGCACCAGGTCTGGATGCAGAAGATCGGCTCCCTACGGTACCTAAGGCACCGAAAGGCACCGGTTTGGGATGTAAACCGCAGGGGTTTTTGGGCCATGTTACAGAGTTTAGGCTTCGCAGGGATCAGGGTGTATGGTTTCGGGCTTAGGGGTGAGAAGCATGATGAGGGCCAGGAGAGGTTAAGCATTTGCTTGTCGGAAGAGTCATGGCTTGGTGGGATCCTTGTCTGGTAGTGGACTCTAGGTTCTATTATAGGTTCATTTTTTTGGCGATCCAGGCCAAACGGCTGACTATGTGCTGCGCACACCTTGACTACACTGTGTCAGTGCGTTGAAGCTAAACTACACAGCCCAGGTAAGTTGCGCCAGAACTAAGTTTGAAGAGTATGTGCACTATGTGGTTGTTGAATTGCATCACCATTTTGGATTTGCGCGCCGGCCGGCACTTGGCCTGACATCCTTCATATACGATGTGTCCAACTGGGCTTCGAGCCGTACCATCTTTTCAAGGCCGAACCGCCCCTCTTTCGGGTCCAAAGCCCAGCTCACATGGAGCTAAACTCTCTTTGCAGGTAGCCCTCCTGGGCCTCGTTCAGCTGCTGCGCATGGGCTGCGCCCAGGCAGCGGCTCTTTTGGTAGCCATGATCTAGTTTGGCTCTAGGGACTTCAGATGTGGCGGAAGCAGTGTTGACAGGGCGTTGTTTCCTTTGACTAGCAAAAGTGTGGGGTTCCAGGCAACGAAGGACTTCAAGTTAAGATCTGCAGCGCCTGAAGTCGGAACGAAGTCTTGAGGCATTTCACGTACCAAACTCCAACAGTCTTGGTTACGGAAAGTTCTCAGACAGCTCACGAAATGAAGAACTACTGGCATTCAGGTTTCGTGACCAGAGCTCGCAGTGCCTTACCGGCGGACTAGGAGGTTCCCAAAATTAGGGGTATCCTGCCACTACGCTAAGTCGGGCAAAGTCTCCGCAGAGGTGCTTCCAGCCAACCTTGCCCAAGGACCGCTTCGAGAATGCCGTCTTCAGCTATTCAAGGGGGGTTTAGGGTAGGTTGCGCAATGTCTGGAACCGTACTGATAGTAGTGATTAGGTCTTATGGTTGTAGTTGTAGCATGAACGGCTGCATGGCGAGAAAGCAGCTAGTAAAACCATTTTTTGCGATCCACTCGGCCATGGTAACATCCATTTAGTATCACTCAGATCTTGCCACACACTTACGTAGGACAGCACTTAATCCGAGCAATGCATGGCTGTTATAGCTTACGCTAGTGCGTCGTACTGTTACTTTGCACTCGCCCATCCAGGTCAACATTCCCATCGCGTGGTGTCGAAAGCAGGTGCTCGTTGGGCCCGCGAAAGCGAATCCCCCCAAAATGGCCGTCATTTGGGCTCATAGATTGAATCGCACATGCCTCTAAGACGAGACCCCTCTACATCCTCCAAGATATTCATGTCCCTACTGTGAAGTAGCCTGAACATGGACCTCGTGCCTCCAAGTGCCAGGACTGCCACACCTCGTACAGACCCTCGCTATCCAGAGCAAAGAGATCATCAGACTTCGGCAAAAGGCTTGCTCTTTCGGGTCCTGAGATGAGGGTTGGGGGTCGAGCATCGGGATTTTAGACTGTTCAGGCGCGCGTTCGACTTAGACATGAAGGGCAATGGAGTTGTTTACAAACAGCTAGTCCAGATGAGAACCGACGGCGCTTGCTCTCTGCAAGGTTTTGTAGCGCTTAACATTCGCTTCATTGTGGCCTTCCGGCGATATCATGCTGGTTGACGAGCTCGTCCGCAAACTAGGCTCTGCACCCCCAACCTCTCACAGCCACACCTTGTCTCTCGAAGGGTCCCAAAATGCCTTTCAAATTGTGATTGCAATCCACGTGCAATCCATTTTAGAAGTAGGCATCTGCGCAGGATTATAAGCAGCATTGCAACCATCGTTTCCTTGCCACACTCTGGAAGAGCACACAGTCTGTGTAATTTTCTCAACGACTGTGCACACTCTTCCACCCGAAAGCTCTGAGCGGGTTCTATGATGCCTGTGCCAGGCGCCTTTGAAGTGTACCCTCAGAACCTGTAGTTCAAAACATGGATGCTACCCAACCCCAAACTAACCTCTGCTGTGGCCTATCTACGACTTAGGGGGCCCCATTTTTAATCATGGTGGAAACCTGAAACTCTCTCGGCCACTTGTGTTCTACCATAGCTTGTTTCAGGGGGACTATA